AATTCAGTCTTGTAATAATGAATGGGTCTCGGCTTATAGTCAGGTGTTTTCGATTTATTTTTGGTTCTCGTTATGCCGAGTCTACACGTTCAAAGTTTGGGGTCTCGGCTTATAGCCGAGATCGGCTTATAGTCGAATAAATACGGTAATAGCAAAATCTAAGAGTGTTACTGTCTATACAATCCATCGCAAAATATATACTTTAAAATTATTCAGCCAGGTAACGATTAAGGTGTTTTTTTCATCATAGGATCACAAAACAAACTCCGGACACTTTCCAAAGTCGTTTAAGAACGGAACGCAAGAAGGCTTATGGTGGGCCATTGTTACCATGACAACCACAGGGTAGGAACATATTATACTTTACAGTTAATGTGCACACCTGCGAATGGAGTTGACAGTAGCGTTTAGCGAATACGCACGGCATTAATTTTGAAAAAAAAAAAAGAAACTTTCAATTCTTTCTTTATAAGAAAGTTTACTGAAGGCTAGTTGGCTTTCGCTCAATTGCCATTATTTGAAAGTTTCCCAAACTAGATTATATTATCACAGAGCCTTCCTGGTGCCCTCCAATTAGCTATTAGGGAGTACAAGATACGGTCACCGCGGACTACATGGCTCTTGGGACTATAGACTACGGTAATACACGGCGGGGACCTGGTTCGAGATTTACTGCGCATGCTCTTTAGCACGTGTGTTTCGTGGTCCGTTCACCGGCGAAAAACGTCGGATTGGTCGACGCGCGACCACGTGACATTGCCAAATTAAAATGGCGGCAATACCTCCATCGTTTGTTTATTCCAGTGGAAAGAAGATTAATTGCGGCTTAATATGAGTTGTAAATGCATATACGGATATTTTTAGAAAAGCCTAGACTTTTTATTATCCTTTTTCACCTATTCCTATGGGATTCGTTCCCTGCGATGGTCGCGTTTTGGCAGGTTTACCGGATTCAACTTTGAACTCTTCACGATCGGGAAGGACAACAATATTTTCAGGATGAAAGCCAGGTAACTAGAAAGAACGGCCTTTGTTCACAGCTCACTGCAGCGGAGGAATAAGACACTAGGGTCCTTTGAAATTGCTTAGACACCTGGAAGTTATTTTATTATTTTTTTTTTTACCGAAAAGATAAAGCAAAATTATGTTTACTCCAGCAAGACTTTCTAATTTATAGAAAAAATCTTGAACATGAGCTAAATGAACTGTAGTGTCTGCATTCATGTTCTTTTCATCGCAATTTTAATATCAAAACTTTAAAGTCGTCTATGACCGAGCAGGTTTTTCTTTCTTTTTTCTTTTCAATGGTTACTGTGCTTGATCCCAATAAGGGGAATACTACATATAAAAGAAGAGAACTTTGATTACAAATATGTTAGTTGGAAAAAATACTGATTATACTATATGATCTTTTTACTATATAGGTTAGAAAAGTGATGCGTAGTCAAAAGTGCTACAAAGGAGTAGAAACCCAGATCTTTCCATTAATAAATTTTATTGACACTGTCATGGACATATAATTTGCTTGAGTACACATTTGTTCGTCAAAAATCTTGTTTTTGAAGCTGCACTTTGTTTGATTCAGGATCAATCAATCTTTTCTGAAGAGAAATGAACAATGAAGTATGTTAACATGTCAGATACTTCAACACTGCCTTAGCCAACAACTAAGAAGAAACTCAACTTCATATCAAAAAAACAAAGTGAAAAATACTTCACTGTGAAACAACAACCCCTTCAAATATATATCACATTAAATTGATACAAAATGTAGACCTGATGAGAAGTTTATAGGAAAAGAAACAAACGATAATTACAATGAAACTATAATGTTTGAATGAGATCTGTATTTGAGTGTTCTCTCATAATTCTGACAGAAGATCAAAATTGGAAACTGCATATCCTACACAACTGCATTCATCAACATGATCCAACTAAAATTTCATTATGAATCAAAGTTTAATCCAAACTTTAAACTCCTGTAAGTTTAATTTGTGAGGATTATTTTTTTTCTTGGAAAGACTTTTTGAATACTTAATAGCATGTTAACTCTATAATTCATTCATAACTTTGCGCCAAAAAAAATTAAGCCGAAAAGGATGGACAGAAAAACAAAAGAATTCACAGGAATATTACCCTGTTCATCTCCTTCCAGGATCCAATTTTCAAGCAAAGAAGCAGCCCCGACAGAAAGCCTTGTGTGCAAAAATTTAGTACTAAAAAATTGTACACGGAGGAAATCATGTACGTAAGTGCGGTTCCTAACGAAGTAACTCGTTGTGTGGATAATCCAAAGCCAAATTTATGAGCAAAATATTCTAAACTTCGATCCTTCAAGTATAAAATTGCAAGCCTAAATGTACAGCAGCTGTGCACATTGTAAACAGAATTTTTTTCACCAATCAGAATGTTGCTGGACCTATCGAACTTTACCTCCAAGACGGTCTAAGTGTTTTAATGAAAACACTCTCACATTTTCTCATTCGACAGTTCGCATCAAACTCAAATTTCTATACGGTAACATACAAAGCTGTAATAACGTGCAACAACAATGAAATTTGCATCGATCGACAAAATCACCTTTCGAGCTACGCACCTAGAAAACTGTCGCAACCCGGCCGCTTTCGATCCACTAGCCACAAGACAATTTACACAGCAAGACAATCGCTAAGATTTCTTTAACTTCTTTATAATTTCCCTTTGTACGGAGTGACAAGAGATTAAGTTGAACCAAGCGTAAGCGTATTTTTCTGCCATAAACAGTGTAGACATGCGCAGATTAAGCATCTAAATATAGATTTTCCAGCAACAAAGTACACGCTAAGTCATATTAACAAAACAAAGCCCAAAATGTCTGTCCCTCCACTTTTTTTTGTTGAATCCCTGATAAGAAACTTGATCTAAACAACAAAAACATTTTGGATAGCATTGTAATACGCTCTTCGATCAACAGTCGAATGTTATCGAATGTTAGATTCACAATCAAAGTCGAATTTTGACACAAAAAACAGGATACACATTTAACAAAACTGTCCCTTCCGTTCAACTCGGTACAAGCTAATTTATATACCAAAACAAAGCCCAATAATTTTTCTTCCACTACTTTATAATTTCTCTTTGTACCGAGTTGCAAGGAACATGCAGTAAACAAAAAGAGCAAAAATTACCCACCTTTTCGGCATGTCTTCCAAATGCAAACCAGCGATCTCAACGCCAATAACACTGAATCAGACCATGCCAATGCGATTTTTCGCCAGTTTCAGGACGCTATATTCTCTAGAGAACACACTTACGTCAAAACTTTGACCAAAATAATTTTTGATCTCTTACAGTGGCAAGAAATTGCAATGCTGTCATTGCCAAACAAAGCTGCCATCTCTTCTTTCATCTCAACAACATTTCGCGGGCATTTTAGCCTCGGAGTCAATGACAATACCCAAAATCGATCACGTGTCATTTTTTCCAGAGCATGCGTAGACATTTTTAGCCGCGGTGAATCGTGGTCCGTCGTCTGGTCGCTCGCTACAGGGAGTAGTCGAGGAGATTCGCGTAGTGAGGATTACGTAAGTATTTTTTTTTTTACCGATTTTTAACCTGTTAAACGTTGCTTTTATGTTGAACAGTCTTTAGGCAATTAAACTTGAGGGGAAAAGAGGTAAAAATTGCAGTTTTTTGCCTGTTTCTGTTTCTGATTACTGACGCCTTTCGAATTCTGTTTTATTACAACAGTGTGTTTACAGCAGATTAGGATGTCAACAGGAGATAAAAGTAGGTAATTCACTATTCGTTTTTCAGCCACCGAGTGAAATTCTTGTCAAACAGTGTAAAGCAAACAACAGCAACACGCGGGAACCTGGAAAGTGATTTTGCAATTGTGCCTAAATTAAAATGAGTGTTTCAAACGGACAGAGAGACCGAACACTGAAGTTTTTTCCATCCAGCGAGTCTAACAGTACGTCCAAAGCAAGTAAAACCTCAATTCTGAGAAAGAAACCTCAAGCAGCAAAACTCGCCCTTGAGTTAAAAATAGCCGAGCAAAAGTGTGACGAAGAAATCGGTCAGACCACTGCGTGCCCAGGCGGAGCGATGTGCCGAGCTGCTAGACCTTAAGGGACCGATCGTTTATTACGTCCCAGAGGGGGGCGAGGGTTTTGAGAAAAGTGTTGTGTTTCAAAACTTTACCTCCCCCCCCCGCCCAAAAAAAATTATTACATATAAAAATTGTACCCCCTTGGCAATAAAAATTTTTCAAATGCATCCCCTCCCCCATTCAACCCCTTCTAGCCAAAGTCTCTTCTTCCATCCTTGGGCATTGATTTCATAAGATGCAAGATACCGGTAGTCAGCAGCGTAGCGTGAGATTTTGAAGGTGCACGCAGGGGAAGAAAAGTTAGCGCACCGAAGGCGCCCCAAACCTGAGCGAGTCTGGGGGCGTGCTACCCCCGCAAATATTTTTAAATTTAGGGTCTCCCAGGAGATGCCATCTCCTGCGTTTTCTGCAGGACATTCTCAGTAAATAAAGACGAAGGAAAATGCAGTAATAAGTTGTTTATTTTACTCATCTATAGTGTTATCAGTAAGGTACAGTGTTTACGGCAAAAAGGGTAAAACAGTGACGCCATAAAGGAGGTTACAAGCAAAGGGCGAGATGTGTACCCTTCAGACAGGCAAACTCTGTTATAATGCCATCAATATAAATTACGTCCTTGTGCTCATATGCAGAATTGCAAGAGAGCTCAATTATGCAATCTCTCGTCTGTCTTGGTCCTCGTAATGGAGTTTGCAGTCTCTTCAAACCGCTGAAGGCTACGCTCAGCTGTGTATATTGACACAGGATAAGTCAACAAAGTTATGAGAGCCCATGACATATACTCAGGGATTGAATCGGAGTTGGCTTCGTCAAAAGTCTTAACCAAGGTTTGTGGCCTCACATTCGGATCCATTTCACTCCACTTAGTCAGAAAAAGGATAAAGGGAATCCTAACACAAAAACACCAATATAATGCAAAATATTTATCCCGAAATTAATGATAAAAACGTTTTCAGGAAATAAAAAAATCTTTATAATCTATATTTTTTCCAGATTTCGGCTGTATGCATAGGCGTATGTGCGTACATGCATGCTACATTCCTGGTAGGAGAAATAGCTGATAGGTTCCTTGGCCGAGCTTTATACGGGTAACATTTTGTTGCCGACAAAGCCACCAAAGTGTATTTTTTTGTCTTCTTTCCAAGGAAACCTCGATTTGCTTCAATCATAATATAGTTTGACACATTTTACATAGAAGGCCAGTCCCGTGTCTTTGTGTCTTAATATTTCGACCCCCCTCACATTCTGTGCATTTTCAAAATTGACCCTCCAAAATCAAGCCTCTTATAAAATTGTACCCCCCCCTCCGAAACCCCGTCCCTCCCGGGACGTAAACGATCGAGAGCTGAATAAACAACATTAGAAGTGGCTCACGAAGATGCTCTTGCTATTGAGGATTCTAATCATGGAGATATTGACGATAAAGTTTTGTCTGGACTACCTAGTGACGATGTAGAGGATCGTCTTTCACGTTTACTTCTGAAGTCAGCTTCCAACACTCAGACTGTTGCTGATGATAAACGTCCCGTTGGTATAGAATCTTTAACCGTTCAAGGCGTTGAAGAAGGCAATGACAATGGAGAAATTACGCCAAATGTAAAACCGGAGACAAGAAAACCTCGAGGCGAAAATACAATTTGAAATCCGCCTGCCACAGTGAGCCCAGGTGAGCAACAAGTCAAGCTAGATCAATTTTTTTGAGAAAATGCTTTCAGCGTTCACTAAAATTGTCAAACCAAGTGTGCCAAAATTTAGCGGAAATCCACTCGAAATCCACTCAGCATTTAAAGTGGAAGTTGACAAAAAGCAGGTTTATGATGCTACAGACAAGCTTAAATCTCTGTTAGATGCAGAGAAAGAAAGCAAAGTCCTGGTTGGTAAAATTCATGCCAAGTTCTGATAAATATAAGAAGACATGGCATTGGTCGCGTGGACACTGTTGTGTCCGCCGCTAAAAGGCGTGTAGATCAATTCCCAATCATAGTGAAAGAAAATAGTTAGCAGATGAGGCAGTATCAAGAAATGGTGTCGGAGTTAATGGGGGTGTATAGGGAACACAACTTTGTTCATGAGATAAACTCGCAGATACCTGAAGCCAACGTTGCTAAGCTTCCTGTTCGTCTTTGCGGTAGATGGGCTGAGTCTGTGGAAGGAAAATCGAAACGGTCTACCTGGTAGTCGTTTGCGAATTGGCTAGAAAAGGAAGCGAAAATATGCGAGTCATAGCAGAGGTGGATGCTGGAGAAGCCAGAATGGAGAAGGTTTGATTCGACTAGGAGTGATTTAACTAAAAGTGGGTCACGTAGGTCTGCTGGCAATCCCGCGGTGCCAGGACTGTTGGTGGGAGCAACACAAGAGGCTCCCTCAGGTGATGAAATTAAAAGTTAACAAAAAAACTGTCCAGTTCATAACTCGGCATATCATGAGGTAGAGGAGGGTAAGAAGTTTAAGGAACTGCCCACTCTTGAGAAAGAGAAACTCGTTGAGGAACATAAACTTTGCCTGTCTTGTCTGTTACCGGGCCATCGGCTGAACAAATGCAATGCTAAGAATGGATGCAAAGTTGAGGGATGTGCATGCGTCACCATACTCTAGTTCATGAGGTTGACTTGAACATTATTGAACGATCAAGAGCGAGAAAAGCAGAAAAACTGGCAGTCGGTGAAGGAGCCCAGAAACCTTTTGCTCCGGAGGGTGATAACAAACCTCTAAATCCGTCAGAGAAATCGTGGGAGCAGTGTCATCACTCGGTGAGTTTAGGCTGCGAGGTTGGCAGTCGTGCGTTGGTTGAGGTGCTGCTTGTAGTTCTGTTCTCATAGAAAGGGGAAGCAACAAGTTATGGCGTTGCGTGACTCAGGATGTAACACAACACTTATGGAATGAAGAATTGGCTAAGTCACTTGGTCTTAAGGTGTTAATGGAGAGAAGGCGTTGACCTTGCGGCACGTAAAGAACTGCCGTATTGCTAGAGTTGGAAGAGAAGGGGTGAAGTACGTATTGAGAGATGTAAAAACGTTTCCTAACCTGGTCCGGATCAGAAGATAAAGTGGTCGGCAATTAAACAGAACTTTAGCCACCTGAAAGATTGGACTTGAAGGACACGGACACGGATCCAGTGCGATTGATAATAGGAGCAACAACTCAGATTTGATTCTACCAATGCAGATTGTGAAACCTTCAGGACAGTCACATGCTAACAGAGTACCATACGCAGTGGAGACACCTCTCGGTTGGGCAGTCACTAACTGGTTACCCGGTGAACAAAGAGTGGCATCACCGTACAATGCGTTTAAAGTGTATGAAACAAGTGCAGGAGAAGAAGAGGAGTTGCAGCGGTTGTTACTGCTCAGTCGGAGGTAGTAGGGTCATCGGGTGTGGTGAGGCTAGCAGAACCCGTGCGTTCAGTTGAACACAGACGCGCGTTGGCAGTACAGAGCAGACGACTAAGAAATTGGAGGGTGAAGACGCTTATGTGTCAGGGCTGCTTTGGCGCGAAGAAGACCCATCGCTTCCTTATAACTATGATATTGGCTGTCCGGAGACTTGAGTCGTTAGAGAAGAAGTTTAAAAATAATCCAGGATGACATTGAGAAGGGTTACGTGCGGAAAACTAAATAAAGAGAAAGTACACGTATCGCTGACAGCAAAGTATCCTGAGATCAGGAGTTATTATTATTTTTTTTGCTTCTTTGCTTATTTGGCCCGAGAGGGAAAAAAAATAACGCCTGATACATTTATTTAACAAGCCGTCAACCGCCCCCTAATTTACATAATCTAACGTCTCCCTTGACTTGTCATGTTATTAGCCAATCAGCGTTTACCAGACGGGAATCAAATTTTGGCGGGAATGTTCAGATGGCGCTTCCCAAAAATATTTTTAAATGTTTTTTTTTTGTGATGACGTGGAGCTGCCGTACCTTTATTTAGCAGCTACAAATAATAAAGAATCTACTGGTAAAAGCTCGTTGATTTCACGAAATGAAAAGTGTTGTGAAAGCGACGATCGCTCAGAATAATTCGCAGGGTTCTGAAGGAGGAATTAACGCCAAACCAGGTCAAGATTCCAATCATGAATTGATTATTTGAAAAGTGAAACCGTTTGTCGCCTCTGTAACTTGTAGCCGGTATCAAACTGCATTCAAATGATCGGTGAATTTTTGACTTCAACTTTTAAGTATACGATGAGATGGAAAATATTTCAATGGATGAAATTTCTATTTAGACATTCTTCAAATTCAAAAAAACTGAGCCGGCAGAAATTTGATAACGAACTCGCGTGTCTACATACGCAAGCAAAAATGCAGACTGAAAATCAACAACAACTAACGGATGGCGGCATTTTGGCCAATCGGAACAGCGCAAATCATCCGTATTGTTTCCTATCCAATCAGAAAAAAGTCCAGATTCTGGCTTTTTTGCATGTGATCTGTAAAAGAAATGTATCATGCCCTCCTCCCGAAGGCAGTTTACAGAGACAAAGGGAGAGGGCATGATCGCAGGCTAACAGCAAAGTGACTTGGTACTTACAGCTCCGTTTCGTTATCACTCCCAAGACACCTGATCGTCTCAGGAGAGTATATGATGCATCAGCGAAGTTCAGGTGTCAAAGGCTAAATGATAAAATGTACACAGAACCAGACTACTTGTCGTAGTTGTTTGGTGTTTTGCTTAGATTTTGCGAACTGAAAGAAGGATAACGTTAGCAGCAGATGTGAGAGAAATGTACCACATGTTGCGTTTACCTGAGATTGATCAGCCAGCCATGAGGTTCCTTTGGAGGGAATCGCCGAACGAAGAACCAAGTGGTTATCAGTTTGAGAGAACAGTTTAGGAGAAGTGTCGGCGCCATCTCGGGCTAACTACACGATGAGGCGTAATGCAGATGAGAACAGGGTAGATCTGCCCCTCGGCGTCAAGGCTGTTTATCTACTGACTTGCGAGAAGCTATTGAAATGCGGAAGCAGATGACAGAGTTATTGCGCCGTGGAGGATTCAAATTACACAAGTGGCTAACAAATGACCCTAATGTATTGGACTAGAACCCGGTAGAGGATAGATCTCCGCGTTTCCTTGAGTTGTGTGAAAATAAATTACCTGTCAATCAAAATCTTTCATCAGTATATTTTTCACTTGCCAAGTTTCAGCTTGTTAACCGCAACCTTTCTCTTGCCATGATTTGGCAAATGATATATACTCGTTAACTGACAAAACGGTGTTCAGCCACCTTACCTTACAGCCGAATTCGTTGTAACGCCCTGCCCGTTTGCAAACTTCAAATCGGTTGTCTGTTCCGTCAATCATTTGAGCGTGGGTGGGGTTAATGCAAATCACAATGCAACGCGCTCGCCCAGCTTGGCCCGTAAAAGCAAAATTGAGAATGACTGAAGACTGCTCAAGAATAGCGAAGGAATTCGCGATAATGAGTGGAATTTTTTGTCGAGGGCAAGAGGTAGACTTTGCCTTTTTCTTGCAAAAGACAAGAATAAGAAAGATCTGAAAAATCTTCCAAGAAAACAGATCGATTATTGTCCGAAACAGGGTGATCCAAAGCAACGAACCTTGAAACACAGAAATAAACAAATTGGATGAAAATGCACAAATCACGAGTAAACATGTGTTTCCTAAGAGGTCCGCCAAGATTATTAAAGTTTTTTTTTTCACACCCCGGAAAGCTTCATTGTACTTTTTATTATTAGAAAGGATAGCACTGTTATCTATACTGTTGAAAGATGGAGGTTAAGCCCTCTCTCGATCTCAAAATGATCAAACTTCTAACATTTGATAACTCGTTTCTGCCATTACGACATTCTCGCTAAAACTCGTAGTAGAATGAAGTCGGCTATCACGTTTTCACGCCAAAATGACGCTGGTTCACGCGTGCGCAATACTGTATTGAAGAAATCTCGTCCTCGTAGTCGTACTCGTCTTAGAATCTAAAGGTCTCTAATTTTTATTTTATTGGTAGCTATGGTGACAAGACTCCAAAATCCACACTTGCTCGAGCATATGCTTCGCTGTGGATGATCGTCGGATTGATGTTAATGTCAATCATTACTGCCCAGGTCTCCTCGACCATCACCTCCGAAAACCTGCGCTCCTTGGATGACGAGTTTGGCAAAAAGGTACAATAGCCACTTAAGAGTTTATATATTTTTAAAAGTTTTAACAAGGAAAGGAAGAAACTCTAAGTCATATCGGCAAAGCCCTATACAGCCTATGAACACTAGTTGAATGATCAGATTGCTTTTTTTATAGGTTTTTTCTTAGCGGAATTAGGCCTTGGAGGATTGTGCTAGCATAATTTTTGGCATAATTGGAGCAAAAAAGCATATTTTTTTAAACGAGCACTGCCACGGCATAATTAGCGAATTTTAGCCCCTTTTGGAGCATAAATTCTTAAAATTTAGTAAATATGGTGTATTTTCTACAGAAATAAATTAAATCAGCCGGCGTGAAGCAGGTACTATTGGTGCAGACTTCCTCTGCTGCAGCTGAGCGAGCCTTCTCCCTACTCTCAGCGGCATTTAACGATCAGCAGTACAGCGCTCTGGCAGACTATCTCCTGGCCAGCGTAATGTTGCAGGATAATAAGCGCTGATGTTGACTTGTGTAAACTATTCTTATCCATGTTTATTCAAGCAATTATTGGTGCTGAAAGAACTCAGAACTGTCTAGACAAGTTGATTTACTTCGTGGTTTGATTCTTTCAACGTTATAGTTCGCTATAGTTTGAGTTAGTTTAAATCAAGAGAGTACTATATTCTTTTGGTTCAGTCAGCATATGCAAGTGTGATCGTTAAGTCGTTGAAGGCATTTTACAAACGGTTCAGAGATGCGAGCAGGTAATTTGGACAGCTGCGGGCCGAGATAAACTGCCATAAAACACAAATAAAGTTACAACAACAGTTAATTTGAAAAACATCATAATTTGGTGTCGTTATTGCGCGCCTATATGTACCGAATCTATGTCATTTTGTGAGCATAATTTTGGAAATCAGGAGCATAATTTGGGAATTCTGGCATAATTTTGGCATAATTTGGCAAAATTACGAGCACTGCTAGTAGCATAATATGCCACTTTTAGGAGCACAACCCGCCAAGGCCTAAGTGGTATATGTTGTGTTTTAACCCTCGGACGTAAAATTCACCCCCCTCCACCGTGGTACAAGGGGGGGAGGGGGTTTCATGGAACCCCTCCTCAGAGTTTTTGATATGTTGCAGTATTTCGAAACGATTTTGCCTTCAGTGGAAAGCCTTTGATCCTCTCAACAAGACGAGGTATATTTTAAGGGGTGGTAGCGCTGCTAGAGGCCGCCATCTTGGATTTTACCAAGAATTAGAATTCAGGTTAAAATTGCGATAAATGGCAATTTTTTGTACTTGATATGTGAAATAACACATAAATAAACACTTCGCATCATTTTATTCACAACTTTACTCTTGGCGTTGAAAATAGTTGAAAAACTATGCATTTTCACTCCAAAATGGCTTAACCCTCCTGTTACTTATGACGTTATATCTCGTAACCATAGCAACTGACCATCACTATACTTGTCTCAAAATGGGCGCGAGGGATAAACGAACAGCTACTGAAATCGGCAGGTACTGATGTGTTATCGTCAGAGGGGGGTGGGGGGGGGGGAAGGGGAGGGTGGCAACCACCCCTTGTTGTACCTCCGAGGATTAAGACACCAGGCCCCGGTTGTTCAAACGTTGGATAGCGCTATCCACTAGATAAATCACTATCCAGCGGATAAGTATTACGGAAATCAATTACGCTATCCGCTGGACAGTGATTTATCCGGTGGATAGCGCTATCCGACGTTTGAACAACCGGAGCCTGAAGACACCAAGTCGGAAACAAAGCCAACATGTTTTCTTTACTCTTTCTTCATAGCTTAACTTTCAATTCCCGGAAGCAGGCTTGACGACTCGCAAAAGCAAAACAGCCAATGAATTAATAAAACTATATACAGTATGTTGCCCAGTATCCGGACACTTCAGTTTAACATTGCAATAACTTTCCTTTGTTTCTGTTGTTTGTCGTAAGAGCTCTGAAATTTTGTCCAGAGAAAATCTATTTAGTCCTTAATATGACGAAAGACAGTTTTACTTTTCTGCCTTTGTCTCCATCGCGAAATTAATATTTTTGCAGAGCTCCTATGTTGCCCAGTATCCGGACAGCTGACCCAGTATCCGGACACAACAATAATAGAGTAATTGTACATAAATTTCGACAGGCAAGCGACTTAGAAGCTTCTCTTGCACTTGCAAAGTAGTCTGACAATCGATTCCAAAAATATAACCTACAATAGCATCGTGAAATAAAACATAACAAATGACTGGGGTATGATGAGGAACACGAGCGGGTGTCAAATGGTATAATTCTTACTTCCTTGTCTTAGGAACTTTTTCACTGATTTAAGAAAAGCATGCCGCATCCGTGGACATACCGAAGCCGTGGTTTGCAAGCTCAATTAGCCAATCTGCAAACGACTTTTTTTCTTCATTTTTTATTTTAAAAGAAAAAGCTTGGGGAAGGGACCTCTATCCGACACGATTTCTTCATGCTCAGTCATGCTCACAATAAGCCTGCTTTTCTAGCACTAATTCCTCCTTCTTTCACATCTCTCAATCCCTTTATGACATTTTTCAGACCGTTGCAACCCCATTCTAGCAGTCACAACTGGGGAAAGTATGAGAATTCCAGGTTCAACTCCGGCGCTTTCGCTTATATATAGAAAATGCAGTCACGCGAAACAAGCAGTGCGCACGAAATCAAGTCGCCTCTGAATGAGTGAAGAACATTTCCATACGGAGTTGACTAGTCATTACATTTTACGACTATATCATATATTTTAAGCTTTAATTATAGTTATAGATATGAAATAAATCTTATCCGGATAATGTACACAGTTAATTCATCGATTCTGTACGGCAAAGAAAAAAACTGTCCGGATACTGGGCACCTGACATCAATACTTAATGAATGTTTCTGGCCTCCGTTATTCCAAACAAATTGAATTTCAAGAATAATTAATAAACTCTTTGAGAACCCGACTTCTTCAGGTATCTTCACTTTAAATAGAAAACAGTTTCTTTGAAAATATCACATATTACCTACCCTTTTCTGAGCAGTACTAATTTTACTGCGCAGTAAACAGCGTAAATATTAGCCATGAAAAGTTTACTCACCTGAACAGAACGACGTCTTCTGTGAGTGTTTCACAAGCTTTAAACTCGCCAAAACTTTCGTCTTAAGGTGATTCTATAGTAAAAGAACCTAACATAGATTGTAGATGAAACTTGGTACACTGATGTAACAAGTCAAGATAATGATAAAAAAGTAATAAAAAGTGGGGGTCACCGTGCTCGTTTTGACGTCACAATGGTGAGAAATACGGCTCTTTTGGACCCTTTGTCAAAAACCGCGCGCAGCCCAAAACTAGACAAAAAGGAGAGAGATTTTTTCGATGATGCATGTGGTATCGCACAGAATTTGACTTTATTGTATTGTTTATCCACTTACATGCCAGAAAAATACCTTTTAATGCTCCTGTTTTTATTTTACGCTCCAAAGTAGAATTGAATTGGACACGCGCTATTCGACCCGTGATAGCTCAATCCGTACAATTTAGTAAAATTGCCAAAAAACTGAACATAGATTTGTGCCAATTTTTTTCTCATCGAAAGGAAGCACTGTCCTTATTAAAATCATGAAATAAAAAATGGGGGTCACCGTACTCGTTTTTGCGGTAGAGCTGCAGAAAGTGCGCACCAAATGCATTTTCGCCGATATTTGAGAGAGGACTGGGGCGAGTTTCAAAATAAAATGTATGTGAAAGGGGGAAGAAAGCATTAAAAAATCTGTTTTTACAGAATTTACATCGAGATATCACATTTAGGGCACAATGTGATAAAGAAAGCGTTTAAATGAAAACCAAAGTGAGTAAGCACAAGTTGAACAACCACTATCGAGGTTCTCCGGGAGGAAGTCGAACTCAGCAACACGCGTACTGCTTACGTTATGCACATTCCCAACACATTGAGTCTCACCTCGGCAAGAAACAACCGCAAGTAAAAATTCCAATAGCGTTTCTCTTTAGTCAACTTCATTTTAATAATGTTACTTCACATGCTCTTTTTTACGGCGGCCATCTTGTTATGCGCAGTAAGAGATGCGCAGTGCAAAACCAGGGAATCACCTTAAAGATGAAATGTCCAGCTTTCATTCGAAATACTTCGTTTACTGAGAACTGAAAACGGCGCCTCAAAAAGTGAGTTTTTGTTTTAAGTGTCCGGATACTGGTACCGTCCGAATGCTGGGCAACATACTGTATAGTACTACAAACTGTCCTTGAAAATGTGTCAGCGCTGAAAATTTTAACAAGAACAATAAAAATAGTGATATTTGCCTTTCGATGTTGACAGCGTTCAAAACAAACCGTTGTTCAGCTGCTGACAGTCTACGGGCATCCAAAAATAACGAAGAGCAGGCACATCTCATAGATCAAGTTTTTTTTTTTGGCTTTTTGATCCACATCGTTTAAGGTAATGAATACATTGTTTATTTTCAATCGTTTTCATGTTCACGAAATGGCAATTTCCATTCAGAGCACGGCACCATTGAGAGCGCATTTCATAGAATTTAAGGTTTAATTGTTATACTGAATTCCAGTCTTTGTCAGTGAAACTAGTTTCCTTGAGCTGTATTCCGGATTCCACAAGCATTTTTTTCCGGATTCCGAATTCCACAGACCAAAACTTCCTGGATTCCAAAATCCGGTTGCCCTTACAAAAAGATTGCTCTCCATCAGCCTCAGGGAGTGCAGCACCATTGTTTTTATGTTTGACGTTTACTCAGCCCAATAGGGTTAGTTTTCTTTTCCTTCAGCTATTCCTTTATTATTGATGTATTGATATCTAAAAATGCTCTTCTTAATGCTGCATAATGATTCTAAAAAAATTGAAAAGGAAAATTCGCATTTGACGGGTCCAGTGTGATACTTTCCAGGTTCATTAATCACAGTTTAGCCATTTCGTGAACACCTAGTTTCTGTTTGACTCTTTATTTTCTGACTATCTACAGTTTCAATCTCTTTGCTCGTTCGCAGCTTTATCATTTAAAAAT